GACCTACAGCACAGCTATTTTTGAATCAACAAATTGAGCTGTATTTTCACATGAGAGAAACTTTCCTTAAACGTTTAATATAACCTGTGACAAATTGAGCTTAGCCAAAACTTATTACTTGACATAAAGTCCATAATTAAACTCTAGTAATTCTTTATCACTATCTCGCTGTGCAACAAAAAAAACCTGTTCTCAAAGAGTCTGAAATCAAATAAGGACATAAGAAAATATAAGATGAAGCACTGAGACAGCAAATCTTTAAAAGAGTTCCTAAGTGAGAGTAAAACCACCATCCACAAGTTGCAGCAAAGCAAATGATGCACTTCAAAGGACAAAAGAAGAAATAGTTGCAAATGCAGATTATGCAATATTTAAGAGGTAAAATTATCAGAGTCAACATACATATGCAGCGTTTCAGAAACAACTAGTTCTGTAGTCGTGGTTATGTGGTCACAGCACTTCCTTAGTATGTGTATGTACGGCTTGCAGTTCCCTCTGAGATGTAAGGATACCACACTCATACACACCATGATGGCATCACCCTAACCACAACAATGGAGGCCGAGTGGTTAGCAAGCTGATCAAAACACTGCGACATGCTGAGCAGATCTTCATTCTTCTAGATTATATTCTTTATTAGAATTCTAGATTAGATTCTTTATTAGTCCCTCAAGTTACTGGCTAACAGACTGCACAATCACCTCCCTTACAGAAGGAAGTGAAAAGACTGTTGGATCTAGCTCTCCATTTTCTGCTTGGTTATGAAATCCTTAACTGCAAAAACACCCCTACTACTCAAATGCTGAAGTGAATTTGTGTACTCACAATGCAGAAAGATTAACACACACACACACACACACACCAATCTGTGGGATCAGCATCTGGATATGTGCTCAGACTATTGGGCTGTTTATTTTTGTCAGGTTTATTAAGTACCTAGGAAAATCCCACTATAAATAAAGCAGCACACTCTTAATAAAACTTCCCATGCATGGTAAGTTTTCAGTTTATAATGGGGCTTATATACATATTTCTTTTATTTTAGCTCCATGTTTTAATCTATTTCATACATCCATTTATTTACTTCTCTTGTATTTTATGCTCAAACTAAAAAGCATCTTCTTTATTTCTTCCCTTTCCTAAATGCTAAAAGAACTACAGGTTAAAAACTTTTACACCTAGAAATCTCATATTGGAAGTATCCATTTACACTGAAAAACACAAACTTCAAGCTCCATTAATATCGCTACTGCAAAAACACAAAAGGGTCACAGAAGCAATAAGCAGATATCCCATGAAATATTCCCAGACAAGCACCATTTTCCAATCTATTGAGTTTCCAGTTCAGAAAGCTCGAGTGCTATTACCAGGTTATGCTCAATCAACATCTGCAGGTTTTAGTGAACAGAACTTTTGTACTTAGGAGCATTGGAAAACCTGACCCACAGCTGCTTAAAATTCGGGTTAGCAAGCTTCGCTTTCAACTGCTTCAGTTCTTTTGGTTCAGGGGGCTGGGTGGGGGATATAAATAAAATAAATGCTTATTTTAGTTACTGGAAGTCTCTAACTTGTTATTGTCACTTTAAAAATACTGAGTCAATTTTGAAGATAACAAAGAGAAAGATAATTAATTCAATATTAACCTGATCCTATAAACACTATAAATTTGGGGGAAAAATTACTGTCTTCAGTCTCCAGCTACCCAGTATTCCTGCTCTACCTTACATTTTGGCTTGTAAATCAAATGAATATACTTTAAAATCTAGTGCATAACCTACTGACAATCTAGTTTCTCCTTTTTTTTTCCCCTACAGAAATACCCAGATATTCATCCACAGATTTGCAGCTTCCACTAGCGCAGCTAAAAAAAGTTCCCATCAGTCTTTAATTTGATTGAAAGCACTTATTTTTGATGTAAGTACTTCCATCATTTCACCTTCATTTATATTTGTAATGCCTGCTGCAGTTTGGCACTCATTAAACAGATTATGGGGTTTTCAGCTGTATTCTGGGCCCTGTACTCTTCCACCCATTTTATTCCTAACTGTCATTAACCTCTAGGAAATGCCCTCCTTGTTGGTCATTACCATTTAATTATACTTTACAGTAATGTCATCACATCTGTGAAATATAATCTTCCATAACAACACAGCTGTGCAAAATGATACTCCCACCCAGCAGTGAAATTCTGGTTACAGCAGATTATACGTGCACATGATGTCGATGGAGGAAATGATACGGAACTTTTCAAAGGCCCTTGACTTTGAACAGGTCTGTTGTGTTAGGAGGTAGGTGCAGTCTTCAAGAAAGGTATCAGAAACTTTTCCTCACTCCTCCACACAAGTTTCCCATAAATTTTAGGAATAACTACTCCTAAAGTTAGAAGTTTCACACAGAAAAAGTAAAGTGAGAACAAACCTCAGAAGCAGAATCTCTGAGTCCAGGGTCTACTTCTTTAACAAACAGTATGAATGATATCTGAAAGATTCTTTTTATTTTTTTCCCTGCTTCCATTCATGATCTCATGATGCACAAGCATCTCCTTTGCTTGTAACATAACAGCACAAGTAACTGCATTGGTCATAAAGAAATAGGACTTGGCACATTTCTGCTACCCTTCACAGGTTGGAGGGGACAACTATTCAAACAACTGTTTCTTCAGAGGTTACCAAGACCTCCCATCTACATCATTCATTGGAATGGCCACTATTTCCTGTAATTTAACATAAACTGTATATTCTGCTGGTACCTGGAGGTGGTGTGGCTGTATTACACAGGGAAGTAGTATTACCATATAATAATGTTCACAAAAAACAGTGGTTTGTACTGCAAACTCTGTGTACTACAGCCTATCTTCGCTCTGTCCTACTTTTGACAGTATCAGTTGGCTAGCAGTAAGCACACAGGCTCCTCTAACAGAAAAGAAACGGCACCAACCAGCCCTTTGTTTTGTTTACTGGGGAGAGATTTGTGTGTGTGTGTATGCATGTGGAGGGGGTGACTGGAAGGGAACTGACTTGTCAAGAGCAGAGCTCAACAGTGGACAGAACAGTAAAGCCTCAATCAAGACTCCGTATACCAAGCTTCAGCAGGATTTTTCCTGGTCTGGGTTACAAATCCTTCACTGGCCAGTAGAAGGAAAGTAGTTGTTTACCTGCTAGAAGCAAGGGGGCAAATTCCTTTAGATTGATGCAAAACATTTTCCTACTCTGGAAGTCAGAAAGGGAGGAGCATCCAGTTTATTTATGTAGCTCAAGCAGTGGCCAAGCAAAGAGGATGCCTTATTGTGCAGAGTTCATAACTGTACATTAAACTCCGCCCTTTAAAGCGATGAAGAAGGAAAACTGCCGTTCCCACTCCAGGAGTCACGAGCAAATGGGAGAGAAGTAAGCAACCAAGTTGCTGCTCGAGATTGTCTTCGAGCACAGTGCTTATGATTAACCAACTGAAGAAACAGAAGGACAGGGAGGAGAAAGCTTGCACAAATAAACCCAAAGCCAGAGGGACTGACAAGAGAAATGCCCTGGGCTTCGGGTGGTCTTGTTTTACAAAGCAAGATTAATTAAACAGCCACTAAAGGACATCTCTTGTAGAAAATGAAACATGCTACAAACCAAAACGCCTCAAAGCGAGCAGCTAGGGAGTTATAACTAAATTACTAAGTACAAAATGAAGCAGCCTGCAGAGGAAATGAGTAATTAAAAAACCCTCCCCTGAGCAACAGGCTGTCCAGAGAGGGATAACTCCAGGACCCTGGTGCTCGAGGTAAACAGTACCAAAGCCAAGAACTGCCAGATGAAAACAGATGTTTTATACAAACAACAAAAACCTAATCTCCTGCCTTTACAGTGCGTTTCCACTCAGAGATGGCATGAGACAGCCTGCCTGGTATGACCTGAAGAGATGCATGCAGGAATGACATCACCCACCACTACCAGGATGCCACCCCTGGGGTGAAGCACTGCAAGTCGTTAGACAGTGCTCAGCAACCATAAACAATGTTTTCAGAGGAAGAAATAGATCAATGTCAACCCCACTCCTCTTCCTGCAAGGGTTTATCTGAACCACAGCACAACCACCTTGTTCCTAGCACAGACACCCTTCTGCAGCCCACTCCCCTTCCTCAATGGAGCAAGGACACCTTGGGTGCCTGCTCTCCAGGAGTTCTGGTGAGCAACATCACCTCTGGCCTGGCCTAACTCCCTCTTTGTTCCTGTTGCCCCAGGGAGTCACCAGGAACAACACTCAACTCATCAACCCTAACATGAGCACTCTGGCAAACTGTTTTCCCAGCTTTTTCCACCAGATCTTTCCCAGGGAAGACAAGCCATGGGAGTAGCAAGCTTTTAGCCCACTGACAAGTCTTTTTCTCTCATTTATCTTCTGGAAACCCCCTCAAGGGCCACCAGTTGACCATGAGTCTGTCAGCAGGCAGGCATGGAAGATGATGACCATGAGGCACAGCCTGCTGAAGGAGTGCCCTGCAGCAAGGGGCCCCAAATGCTTTTTCCCCAGATGCTGTTCCCTCAGAGGGAGCAGCCCCAGCCCTGACAAACATCACCCCCTTTTCAGTCATGGATGACAAGCAAGACTGGGAAGGTGAGGACATCCCCTGTTGACGCTGAGGTGGATCCACATGCCAAGGCGGACACCACTCATGGCCATCTCAGGCCCTCCATCAGGTGAGGACCACTGTGCAGAGGATCCCTCACCCTCCATGACGAGCTTCAAGCAAGGAGAGCCTCACCATCACCTCAGGCTCTCTGTGGTCTGGGGAGGGCCTCAAGACCACCTCCTTCAGAGTCATTCCTTCACCTTTCCTCAGGCCTTCTGTGGTCAGTGGGGGACCCCTCACTGTCCATCAGCAGTGGACCCTCACCATCACCTCCTGGCTAGACCCACGTTCCGTCCGAGGGGCACACACACCTCTCTGGCTAAAGGGACCCCTCACCATCCCCTTCATCGGAGGGAGCCCTTCTGCACCCATCCCCACGTCCCCTCCCGGGGAATGACGGCTCCCTCTCCACCCCCTCAGGCCCTCGGTTCCTCCCCGCAGGCCTCGGGCTCTCTCTCTGAAGCGGGCCCTGCCCTGCCCTGCCCTGCGGGCCCCCGCCGCCTCACCGCGGTGCCGCCGCCCCTGACCCAGCCCGCGTCAGCGGCACTCACTGCGGCGGGAGCTGCAGGGCCGGGCCGCCGCGGCGCTGGAAGGCACCGTCCACGAAGACGCCGTTCTTGCCGAGGCAGCGCAGGTAGAAGTGCGGCTCCTGGAAGCTGAGCTGCAGGTGCCGCCGGGAGATGAAGCTAGAGTGCCCCATGTTGACGTCCACCGAGCCCTGCGAGGAGTTGCGGCCTATGGTGACGGCCGGCTGCCGCATGAGGAACTCGAACTCGCGGCCCTGCAGCCGCGCCAGCACCGGGCCGGCACAGGCGGCGGCGGCGGCGGGCGGCCCGGCCGGGGGCGGCGGCCCGGGAGGGGGCGCCGCGGCGGGGCTGCAGGGCGCCGAGCGCAGCGCCAGCAGAGCCCGCGCCCCGCTGCTGTCCTCCCCGACTTCGGCCATGTTCCCAGGCAGGGAGCGAGCCAGCGTGCCGGCCTCCGGGGCGGAGCCGGCGGGGCGGGGAAGCGAAGCGGGGCGGAGCGGGAGAAGAGCCGAGCCCGCTGCCGCCGCCACCGCCTCCTTCCCTTGAGTCCCCGGCAGCAGCGCCAGGCCCGGCCGCCCCGCAGCGGTGTGTGGCGTGGGGCAGGGGCTTGGTAGCGACGGAGCCGCGGCGCCTCCTGCAGGCGCTGGGTCCGCTCCTCGGGCAGGTGCTGTGGGCGGCCCGCAGCCCTGATCCAGGCAGGAAAATCACCTCAGGGCCATCCCAAAACCCGGCCCTGCTTAGGGCTTCCTGTGGGACTGGGGCACATCCACACAGCGCATCGCCTGCCTTGTGGTGCTGAGCTGCTGTATGTGCAATCCAGCGTAGGATTCGTGTCACGACACCAAAACCCCTGCACGCTGTCAGGTGGGGATTTAATCGTGACACGATTTTAGTAGCCCTGGACTGTTGGCAAAGGGTTGCTGATGGGGAGAGATTCACAGAACCATTAGGGTTGGAAGGGACCTCTGGAGGTTCACCCCAGATACACAGGGGTGTACGTTTAAACACTTTTATAGGGTTTATATATATATATATATGCACACCTATATGTATGTGTATACTCATACAGTGATTTTATACTCCTATAGCTTTATACAGCTTTATACTCATATAAACTTTATACTCACATAATTTAGCTTTATACTGGTAGTTTTTCATTATAAGGGAATGCGTGTAGGTTGTTTAGCTCATATTACATTATTTCTTACTTCAAATTACTTTTAATATTTTTCTATATTGTATGTGTTACTTCTATAAATGATAAAGATCATGTTCTTTTGCAACAGCGGTGCGTGTTTGGATACTCGGTGCTGTTAGTTTATCCAGATTAAACAGGTAAAACTTTTCTGTATAGGCGAGCATATAATACATTGCAGGATCCTGAATAGTTAAATAACCAGAAAATGCCATGAATTTCAGAATCTTGGGAGAGGGAGCAGCCGTAATTGCTTATTGCTTCAGCTCGTGTGGGGAACGTGGCAGCTCAGAGCAAGGCTGCTCAACAGCTTAGAGGAGATGGGGAAAGAAAATCCCATCACCGGTCAAAAGTGCAGAGCAAATTTCGGCTGTGAAGACTGTAATTAAACGAGCTGGAATCAGTCCAGGACCACAAGGTTAACATCCCTGTTCCTGGAACATCTTCCCTGAGATGTTTAATGACTGCTGAGCAGTCGGGACCTGAGTTAGACATCTCACCCGAGACATCATCTTCAGTAAGAGTGCTCTTTGCCACTGCAGTTCAACACCAACCGAGAGGAAGAAAGAAAAGCACCATCTAACACAGCACCGATACCACTTCCTACGCAGCAGTGTCTCCTCTCCAGCGAGACTCAGCCAAGCCAGGCATGGCAAAAGGTTGCAGTAACCAGTGCAGGAGAGGGAGGAAAAGCATCCCTGGAAGGGGCATGAGGAGGATGGAGGTGGTCACAAGAAGTGGTTCTCCTAGAAGCCTGGAATTAAATTACAGCTGAAATAGTGCTGGAAGGTGGCGTGGAAGAAATAAACAAGGTCACAGCACACAGCAGCAGCATAACCTGGGCCCCTGTGAAGAGCTCCTTTTCTGTCCCAAATTGCTCATCATCAGCAAAACTCATGGTCAGAAAGTAATATGTGGCCATCTGGTAGGTGAGAGCCAAAGACACTTGCTGCCTGACCGGAGAGCTGGGTCAAGCCTTCTGCCTGTTCACACTGGGATGAGAGTGCTGTTAAGTGTGCTTAAAAATGGACCCAAGCTGGTAGGCAGGGGTGTGGGCGCAGGTGAGGTGAGACCTCCTATCAGAGCAGTGTTTGACCTGTCAAAGAAAAAGGGAAAGCAGCACCAGAAAGATTTTAGTCATGTCCAAGGCTTTTCTAAAACCCCAAATTGTGGTGTTGGACCAGAAGGGTCCTGAAAGGGTCAGAAATAGGGTGAGGCTGTTACCAGATGTTGCCAGTAAGTGTTTTGTTAGCTGCATGGGAAAACGCATTGCAGGCAGGCAGACTGGCAAGGCAGGAGCCAACCCCGCATGGGCAGGAGCAGGGCGGTTTCTAACTACAGGAGTTGCAGGCAACCCTGTGGACCCATGCAACCGTCTGATGTGGGGCCAAGAGGCATGTTTCTGCCAGGGCTGGGTCCCATTACCTCTCCCACACTGGATACAGGCTACAGATTTCTGCAGCTCCAGTAGGGGAATAACCCCAGGGCTGGCACGTGAGGCTGCTATGAAGATAGTGCTGCTGCTCCAAGGCTTCCTGAGCGCCTGGGGCAGACCTGGTGGAGCCTCGCTGCTCCAAGGCTGCGGAGCTGGGGATGCTGATGGGCACATCCACACGTGTCCCGGTCACTCTGCAGCCACTGAGACGAGATGCTCCTGCTGCACTAGTCAGTGAGATTATTTTTCTAACAAGTCTTTCTCTTTCTGCCAGGAAATTTCTTCTGAGTGGAAGGTGCTGTTTAAAGCCAGCGCCACCACCGAGATAAATCCCAGCTTCATGCAAAATGTGATCAAGCGCTGTACAGAAACAGGATTCCTCCAAGCTGCCTGATGGGTTGTGCTTAGCATCGTGTCTCACCAGCTCTCCCGCCTGCGGCATCCGTTCCCTAAGCTCCTTGTGCTGCAAGGAACAGAGGGCTCTGCTCGGCTCTAATCCACCCCGCAACAGCATCAAACCAAGGGCCCTTCAGACAAGGAAACGCTTTGCGCTCCTCCAGTCAGCTAATCCTGCTTAAAGTCAAGCTGGCTGCCCCAGTGTAAATGCCTGATGTAAATGCACTCGAAATTGTTTGAATTAAATTAATCTCATCCCGTATGGCTGGATTGACTTTAAAGTGGTTCATTTTCCTCGGCAGGGTTTTAGATGGATATGTCTGCAGGTGTGGCCGAACTTCCTGACTCTACAAGTTGCCTACCAAAATATTCAGATGGCTTGGAGCTGCCAGCCAGGTACTACGAGCTATGGGGAGCAGCTCCAGGGGGAACTGGGGCAGGGAGGGAGACGACAGCACGGTTCTTGTGCCACCCCAGTGATGGGCCCAAGCACTGGTGCATCACTTGGATGTGGGAACAGCACCTTGGCCATCTCCATCCATGCAAACGAGCCAGCTGTGGGCTTGCTCCAGCCAGAACTCTGCTCAGGCACTAGCATGGTGTGACACCATGTACAAACATGACTGCCTGTGCACATGCAGAAATAATCCCTCCTGGCACGTTGTAGCAACACCTAGAGCCATTTTGAGATGCTGCCCTGCTCTGTTACATGTGTGCAACAGAGCAATCTGAACCAGGAGGAGAAATTAAACGTTCAAATCAAGCAGCCGTGAAGGGGACAGAGAGAGCAGAAAGAAGCTGGGGTAGAGTTTGGCATTACCCAAGAGAGCAGTGCAAAACCTGACTGTCCTTTGTCAAATATTTGTTTGGCAGTGTCATTGCTGACTCTTTCAATACAGCGATATTCAGCAGGAATCTGTTTTGCACTATCAGTTGTGAGCAAATGAATGTAATGGGTTGTTATGGTCACCCAGATACCACTGTATTGGGCAAACAGAGATCTTGCAAAAATGGTGATAAAAGGGTATATTTCTGCATTTATCTGCTGGATAGTGTCTGCTTAAAACCACTTAGTTCCTGTAAACGAAAGGCTGCATTTCTAGAGCATTTCATATGGCTGTTGCTCGCTATTCTGATGCATGAGACTTAATACGTATTTATCAAGCCCCAATTCAGCAAAGAAGCTGCCTGGCTTCAACACTGCAAGAAATCTGTTCTACCCCCAGACTAAAGCATGATTGAAAAGCTGCTTTGACAGAAAGGAACGATGCGAGCTGCACACTGGGCATGAGCTGCTTGATGGATTTACCCAGCAGCTAAGCAACACATTGATGCTCGCAAGGAAAGCACAGCCCTGACCCGGGGAAGGCAGAAAAGAGTGAAGGAAAGCAATTACTCTAAGGAGGACTCTGCTGTCTCTGTGCTAGTCCAGTCCAGCATTTCTCCTGAGCACAGTGCCAGTCTAACGGGCTTAAGGGCGATACAGCTTCCACTGATGTAAAGTGTGTGTTATTAGCAAGAGAGCAAAGACTTCAGGATCTGCAACACACAAATACTTAGAATACAAAAGAGGACAGTGTTCCCTCAAATTCCTGCCCACCTCCCTGCAGCCCTTTTCCCTTTCCCTTATGTCAGCTGTAAGTAGGCTTTAAATGCTGTGGTGGTTTTTGTCCAAAGTGATTTGCAGCAATATAAGTGATGAACAACATGCCCTGTATCTATGGAGCTGCTTTCCCCAACGCACCTGCGCTCAGGAGCAGCCTCATGTCCTTCTCCAGCTGGGTGGGTTTTAATTCTGCTGTGTGTCACAGGGAAATCACAGGGCTGTGACACAGGAGCAAATGCACTTATACACATCTCATAGGATTTTCTTCCTAACCAAGCGGCTGCAAGAAGTTAAATAGAATTCATTGTTTTGAAACATATTCAAGTGTATGATAGTATCTGTCTCACACACACACACTTGCACCGTGTCTGAGCCAGCCTCCCATGAGATTTGTACCTTTTTTCTTAATTCAATTGCATGACTTTTAACCTTGATCCTTACATCACTGCAGTGTCAGCCCTTGGTCCTGATCTGGGACAACCCATATAAATCTGTCTGCCCGCAGATGCTCCATCCACAACACGGATCTCTGACCAGGAGGTACCTGTGAAGCTCACAGTGGCATTGAGGATGTGACCTGCTGCTGAGGGTCTGGGGAGCACAGAGCAGCCCTAATCCCATCTGGGACACCTGTAAATACCCCTTCTTGAACTAGAACAGCCTTACAAATCTTTCACAGTGGCTCTGAGCCAGTTTTAATCCAGATGGCCTGATAAGAAAGGGTTGGCCTGTGGAGGAGGTGATACAGTGATAGAGGAATTCTTTCTTCTCCTCCACAGCTTTTGATCAGCAGAAGGTTGAAGAAATAACAACACCAGTGAGTCAGAAATGTGGTAGGAGCGCTCATGGTCCCGAAAGCACACAAAGGATACAAACCCACCATTTTTTTCCTAATGCCAATAGGCTGCTATGCTGAAGGAAGCAGTATCAGAGACAGTAAAAGGCACACAGACAGCAGAACCAGTGCAAGGTGGGCATCCTTAAATCCTCCTGCAAGGTGCTGTTTGCCTTGTGCTGGGTGCTGAGCAGCAGCATCAGCGCCTGGCGAGATGGGGCTAAATGAGATGCTGCATCTGTTCACTCCCTCCCAAGAGCAGCACAGCCTGGAAAGATTGTTCTTTGTATAGTAATGAATTTCTTCATTTTAAAATCAGCTGTGATCCTGTTTACTGTAAACTCCAATATGCTTCAAATGTTTCTATCACAGTTTATTTAGGTTTCACAGGGATTTTTTTCCTTTCAAATCACACTTACCAAGAATATATTTTCACAGCAAGTTCTCTGAAATACAATAAAGACCTAGGAACATCTGATGCCCAGACTCTGCCATTCCCTGAGATAGTCTATGATTTGCTCATCCCCCATGCAGAAATGCTGTCGCTTTTCTAGAATCCAAGCCAGAGCCTGTCTGATGTATGATAACCCATTTTGGAAAGCCTTGAACAAGACCATTTGTTGTCGAGATAATTTTACACAAGCAATACCATTTCATGGGTGGCTGTTAAAAGAATACATAACATTTACACTGGCCTGTGTGCTTTCAGCTTTACACCCATTCAGCTAACTTACCTTCATTTTGGCTTGCAACTTAGACCTCAGTGAAATCCATAACACAAGCCAGGTCTAAATTATTTGCTTTAGTCGTTTTTGAATGATCTCATTTTCTCACTTTCCATCGATGCAAAGAGGGAAAAATGCTCTTCAACAGCTAAAAACAACCGAACCAGTAAGTATAAAATCTGATATCAAACATGAAGCATTTCAGCCCAAAGGGAATATGGTTTTGGACTTTTATGAGCAACTGTAGCGTATACTGCTTGTTGCTGCGTAAAAAAAGCTCCATGCATTGTCTGTAGGGTTGGAAGCAGCCGATCTTAAACATCTTGCTTTACAATCTGCCCAAAATGCTAGAGGAGCCGGTGAAGCTACAGAATTTGCCTTCTATTATTGCAGAACATGTAAACAAAAACCACAGGACCTGCGTGTTTACTGTCCCAAACCTTATATCCTGATTCACACCTATGATGATGCATGATATACAGCCAGTATATATATCATGATATATATCTCTATACAGCTCAGACCCAGACGCATTGCCCAAGGACCCATGTGGGAACAGTCCTGGACTTCAGCCAGTGTAGCATGCCAGTAGAGGACCTATTCTTCGCTTTGGGCATCACTGGGGACTAGCAAAGACACCTCTAAACCATGTTTGCTTTCAGTGGGTCCTGAGCATCCTTTGGAATCACTGGAGCCTCTCAGCTGGGAGAAGATGCTGGGGGAGAGACTCTCCTGCAGATGTCCCATTGCTTTGCAGACACTTCTAGAGCTCTGAGGAAACCTCACCATTGATGATATTTCCAGCACTAACGTTGGTTCCCAGTAAAATCCTGGATTAAGCGTGAAACTCATTCCTTCTCCCGTTCTGCGCCCTTCTTTCCAGTTGGTTGTATTAATTAGATATGTTAGTGCAATGAGAGCATTTGCTGTAAGTGCTGGAAACCCCTGGGTTTGCAATCATGACACATCACTTTAAGGGCACACTGTCAACTCCAGGAAAACTGCTATAAACAGTTTCACTTACTTACATGACTAATAATACCACAGAGTATTAAAAGTGAAAGGATTTTTAAAATCCACTTTACTTGTCTTTCATCTTGGCCAGTGAAAAAATCAATGAAATGCATCTTAGTTTAGTTTAGAGTAATTTTCACTTACCAGGTCCCTCATGCTAATGCGCCTGCTTTACAGGCAGGAGGGGACATGTTTACCTGCTTGGAAGAAAACCCCTGTGCACCCTGGGTATTGAGATAAATGCCAACTCTCCAAAACCAAGGAGAGAGAAATAAGGCGGCATGAAAACACGTCCATCAATGTGCTTTATAAATACATGTTTTACACAAATGAACCAGTTGCTGAATTTAACCAAAGACCATTCTTCATCAGCAAAGTCATAATCATGTAAGGATTTAATGATTGAATTCAGTTCGGTTTATGGTAGCAAGAGATTACAATTATAAAGTAATCTTTGATGAAATTAAAGGTGCTATTTTTCTTTTTAAAGGTAGGATTTCAAAACCCCAGCCATTAAAAGTAACTTATAGAAAGTTTGGATCTCAAGTTTGAATTAGCCAAACTAAAAGATAAAAACAGGGACTCTGTAGCCTTCAGAAACATTGACTGTAATCTCAAGGGCTTGTTTATGCCTGGGTTATATACCCGTTTGGGGCTAGAGAGGGAATGTGATTTGAAACTGATTTAGACATTTTGGTACCTTTATTTTCTGTATAGCTCAGCATGTAATTTGCTGGATGTCGTCTCCCACCAGCCTCCTTCCACCTGCCCATTACTCTACCAGCAGACCTGTCCCTATCCCATCCCTGCTCAGCATCTGGATTTTACTGGCTGTGCCAGTTTAATGCATCACTTTGACAAGCACGGACCCCATGGTCTGCTGCTGCAGGAGCCTAGAGCCCACAGCTCCAAACACACTGATTTTGGGGATGTGCCAAAGGGCATTGATATGTGACCAGCCCAAGCAGTGGGGGACCAGGGGTTGTGGCTCTCCCCAGGCTCTCTGAGCCATGCTAGAGCCTGTGGTCCCTTCAGCACATTTAATTCCCAACATAGAATCATAAAATCAGAATATGGTTTGGGTTGGAAG